GGGAAGGATTAGGTTTAGGGAAAGGGTTAGGGTAAGGGTTGGGATAGGGGTAAGGGTAAGGGGTTAGTGTTAGGGTAAGGGTTAGGGGTGGCGATTAGGGCTATGGTTAGGGGTTAGTGTTAGGTTTAGGTTTAGGGTTCGGGTAAGTGTATGGGGTTAGGATTAGGGTTATGGTTAGGGTTATGGTAAGGGTAAGGGTTAGTGTTAGGGTGAGGGTAAGTGTTAGGGTAAGGGTTATGGTAAGCTTTAGGATTAGGGGGTTAGTGTTAGGGTTGGGGTAAGGGTTAGGTTTAGGGTAAGTTTTAGGGTAAGGGTTAGGGTTAGGTTAAGGATAGGGATAGGGTAAGGGTAAGGGTTATGATTAAGTTGAGGGTGGGATTGTGATATCGTATGTAAAACGCCCCAAGTTTCTGCTTAATATTATAAGAAGTCTTCAAAAATTCCATTATTGCTGGGTTTTGAGCTAAGGATAGTTTTCGGAATAAAATTCCACATTTCCACTTTTGTCGACGACAATTCGAGCTCGATTCGGGCTCAATTCGACCTCGATTTGTTTTTCGCGCCTTCTTGCGAGTTACGCGACAACGCCGTTGACATATAGCCATTAGGCATTAGGCATTAAATTATTTCAAGAAAATTGTACGACTTTTATTACTTCTTTTCACAAAATCCTTTTTTAGTAAATCAGTTTTACCAACTCATAAAAACCCACCTACGGCTGGTTGTATCCGAGACCACTACCAAGTAAACTTCTGCCCAAATACTGTGGGCTACGAGGAAATAAATATTTGTAAATAGTATAGCCCTCGATATCAACAAAAACTACTTCATTTGATATGTGACAAATTTCACTGCCAGCACGTGGCCCCTTCATGAGAGGGTGCCCAAGAAGAGGATCAGGTTCAGGTAAGTTCAGGTTTTAATTGAGGGAAATATAGGTGAAAACCTTTGAACTCCCTATTGGTACAGGACGGTTTTTTCAGTGCATATGATCTGCAGAACATTTCAGAACAGTGGCGTTGCCAGTAATTTGAATTTGGGTAAGGGGGGCTGACAGTGAAAAAACTCCTCAGGCATTGTTCAGAAGTGTGGGCTCTTAGCTCATCTTATGCGCTGTTTAAATTTATCAATAACCAACTTTGCTAAACTCGAATTCAACGCGCTTGCACACTTTCGGTTCTGACGCGTGCTAGCAACTGTCTTGCTAACCACTC